GATGTTACATACATTTTTAATAAAAACCTCATGCAATTATTTTCATTCTCACGCCATACCTTATTTTCTTATTTTTCTATTTAAGACTATAGTAGATTGGAACAGTGTTTGTTATTAGTCTTATATTTTGTCTAATTTTTTTAAAATTTAAAATCAGTTGTTAATTAAGTAAATTGAATTAATTGATGGCTTAGGGATATGGTGACCCCATCGCCCGGTCTTAGTACTTCAGTTAACCACTGGCCCTCCAGTTTGGGGGAACACTTACACTATCAAGCACACAGTACACAAACACATTACACTGTACACTAGGTCATCTACACTACACACCTTAAGAACACCTTTCCTAGGAAGCCGCCCCTGGGGTGGTTTCTGTCTGCAGGCGCAAAGGTGGCAGCCCCACCAGCAGGCTATGGTATGTAGTTTGGGTTGATGGTCCCACTACCCGAAATTAAACCAACCAGGAAACCCAAAACAGCCTTGGAACTTAATATTAAAAAACGGAAACCACTCGGCAAACCCAGGGTTAGCTTTAACGTATTGTGGGCAGAGAACTCTAGATGACTGTCCACAATACGATATGAAAATCATCGTAGGTGACTTCAATGCAAAAGTAAACAATATTTCACCCAACTATAGGCAAACATAGCCGGCACGAATCAAGTAATGACAAGGGTTATAAATTTTGCTATCTCTCGTGACCTTACAATCGGCAGTACTCTTTTCTCTCATAAGGAAATTTACCAGGAACAATGGAAAACACCTGACGGGTCAACACTGAACCAAATCGATCATATCCTCATCGATAGGAAGCACATGCCCAATCTCCTAATCGCGAGAGTATTCAGAGGGGCGAATGTGGATTCCGATGACTTTTTAAGTATCGCTTATTTCCGAGCACGGAATGACATTCCGAAAAAATCATGACTGAAGAAATCCACGGAACAAGGCATAGGAGAACCTCGGGTTCGGTGGAGTGACGTTGTGGCTTGTGATGCCAGGAAAATTTGAATAAAATAAATTTTATTCACCGTCTATAGAGACTGTGATCGGTAAACAAATATTCTAATCTACTCAAGTACTTATTAACGTTTTTACTGGATGATGCAGTTTCTATGACCGCGACGGCAATGTGCTAAAACTTAAAAGTTGGGCATTTTAAATTAAATGACGCATAATCATTATTTAAGAAATCGTTTGCTACTCAATTATGGTGATATTGATCTCATCTTTTAAATCCTATATAGGAGATAAATTAGGAGCGGATTCAGAATTTAATTTTGAAACTATGAAAAACTAATTATTTTTCTATTCTGAAGGGAGAAAAAGAAAAAGCTTCAGCGAAATGTCGCCTAATTGTTTGACCGGGCTGATACCGTCCAATAAATTTATGTCGGATAACGTTTGGTATTGAATTCTTTAATTATATCTACAAAAGTAAAAAATTGAATACGAATTAATTGTATTTAGGTACGTTATTTTTGCGGTACATATTTGTTTGTTGAGGTTTTAATGCATAAAAGGGTCATCAAGGTCTGTGAATCAGTTATTTTTGTTGTCTGTTGAGTACAGAAACTCTTTATAAGAGGAAAAAAGAGAATAAATAATCAACAATTAATAATAAATAAATAGAATAATAAATAAATAAATATTTAAAAACATATAAAAAATGAAATAAATAAATAAAAATTATATTTATTTCTATACTTTATTTAATATTCTATGGATTTTAAGAAAATTTATAACTGTTTTTATGTTTGAGTCGTTATTGTGTAATACTACTGTCTTAGAGATAATTCATTTAAGCTTGAGGGGTAATAAGGACATTCCTGGAAATGACTGACAATGAGAGGACAAATTGTCAAGTTTCCATTTTAGTGGTAGTTGTTTAATGATGAGGCGTAAATGAATGAGATATGTGTGTCCTATTTTAACCTAATCACAGCGATCTCCTCTCTGCGGTGGTACATATTTTATTTATAGCCTATTTTGGTAGGACTCGTTATTGTGAAACCCTATCAAGACTTTTACCTAGATATTTATTTTTATTGTATTTATTTATCTAGAAATATTATAACCTATCACGTGGACAATAATTATAGTGATATATGAACCCATTCGCACCATACAAATATACAAACCATACCTAGATATTAAATGAAAATGTTATCAATAACTTACCTCAAGAATAATCCCAGCGGCTTCCATATCTTCGACTACCTTGATGAGCTTCTCTTATCGTGGCTAATATAGCCAATTATGTCCCTACTATTTTTCTATGACCTTCAGTTTGGATATTTATCTTATTTTTTTCAAAGGAATATAATTGCGCACACACATATAATTTATATACACATATAATGCAAATATTAAAAGGTTAGGAATATGATAATTTTTTCGATATCTGATCCCACCTTCAAGCATACCTTTTTCCTTGTGGAAAAACACGCTTCAAATAAAATTCGTTCACATGGCCGGAGAACTATTGGTTTGTTTTTCAATCGTTTTTGTTTCGATGTCTAGGCGGAAAACATCCAGGTCATCAGCACCCGATTAACTAAATAACACTACTTTTATACTGTTCAGGTGGTTGGTACAAAAAAAATAATAATAAAAGAATTAATAGAATAAAATTAATAGGTAGTGATAATAATAGACAATTATGGATAATAAGATAGAATAGATAAATAAATAAACTAAAACAAAAAAAATCAATAAATGGGTTGAAATTGATAAATCAATGAACTTTTGAAATAAAAAAAAATAAATCTGCACAGGATCATTAGTTATAGAATTGTTATATATGTTTTATAATTTTTTCATTGTTTAGGAACTTCAAAACTTTGGTAAGGATTTCTTCTTGATTTCCCAGGGATGCTGATATATTCTGGGGTATTCCGATATCTTTTAACCTTGCGGTGTAAAAAGTGCACTCTTCCAAAATATGTTTTATGGTTAATGACTGGTCACACTTTTGACATCTGGGGATAAGATCTTTTGTTATGAGGTGGAGGTGTGTCAGTCTAGTATGTCCGATCCTCAGCCGCGTGAGGACAACCTCTTCTGTATGACTGCAGCGTTTGGAGCTCATCCACGGTTGCACCTCTTTCTTTATTGTCTTTAATTTGCTAGGTGCGTAGTTGTTCCACCGTCTTTGGCATTCTTGAGATATGGTTTCTCTTAGAGGTCGTGAAAGTTCAGATGGTATCAAAAAAGCTATACCGCGGCCTGGAAGTGTTTGCTGCTCTATTAGCCATTTCGTTTCGTTTAATGTCTACGTGGCCAGGCGACCAGATAAAATGTGTCGTTGTTCCAACTCCTTGAAGGATTTTTATAAGATTTAAAATGCAGTGTATCCTGGATGATCTGGATACATGTTATTTCAGAGTACTTAGGGAATCCGATACCACAACCACATTTGCAACTGGCTTCTTCATAACGTATCGGAGACCCATTGCGACGGCGTTAATCTATGCTGAGTAAATACTACAAAGATGATGCAAATTATATTTGTAGGTGCTATCAGGGGTGACAAAGGCTGATGCAGTAGATGTATCTGATTTAGATCCGTCGATGAATTAGAAGATGTTCAGGTAGTGTGATGATTATTTGGTGGAACTTTTCTTTATAATCTGTAGGTAGTGTACTGGTTTAGGTGAGTTGGCGATTTAATTTTGGTTGTATATAGGTCCAAGATGATTATTCCTTTTTTATTTCATTTAATCTTATTTGTTTTAATTTATTTATAATAAGAGACATTCTTTCTGCCAATGGAAATGTGGTATTCCTCTTTACTGTAAATCTTTTTGAAAATTTAGATTGAAAAGCATATTTATGGGAGGGGTGTATAGTTTGGGGATATAACTTAGTAATATAGTTGATTGCAAGTTTCTGTCTTCTAAAGTGCAGTGGTGTTAGGCCAGATTCGACACATATGCTCAAGGTTGGACTTGTCCTAAAGGCTCCAGTTGCAATGCGTATTCCAGTGTGGTGCACGGAGTCGAGCTTGGCTAGAGCATTTTTCTGGTAGAACCGTAGACAAAACTACCATAATATATTTTTGCACTGATCAGAGCTTGGTATACTTTAATCATGGTAGTTAGTTCCGCTAAGTACTTTCAATACTTGAAGTTTTCTAGTACATGTATCTTTGAGTGATTTTATGTGGTGCTCCATGGATAGACGTTTATCAAATAATAATCCCAAGAATTTGCAAGTGTTGATATATGGTAAGATGGCGTCACCTATAAGAAGTTCTGGTGATTGTGGAGTATTTCGTTTTCTGCTGTAGTGAATACAGTCGGTGTTTTCAGAAGAGAAACGAAGTCCCGATGATTTTGACCAGTCGTCATTACGATACAGTGCTTCTTGGAGCTTATCTTTTATAGAGAGGGCATTATTCGCTCTGCATAGAACAGCAAGATCTTCGACATAGAGCATTACTTTTAACTATGAAATATTTGTTCCCAAGTCAGTAACTGCTAGCGCGAAAAGCGTTGTACTTAAAACGCATCCTTTTGGTACTCCACTCACTTTTCTACATTGCTTGGACATCTATTAGTCAGATTAGAACTATTAATCCATTAAGACCGTTGAGAAAGAAGTTGAAAATTTTAAATAAACACTATTTCATTTTAGATTTTATTTTATTTATTTGTTGTGCTGATAAGTGTACAGGAGCAGTCCTTGTTTTTTCTTTCACCCTAAGCGAAAACGTTTTGCTTCTCATGCATTACTTCTCTGCCCTTCTCCTCCAGTTCTAAGTCAAGCTAAGGTCATCGCTGCAATTGCCAAATACAAATTTATTGTTACATTTTTTTCAAGCGTTAAATTAAATAAAACTTACTTCATCTTCATTTAACACAATTTAAATTAAAAATTATTTTTATTGTATAAAATCAATGAATCACAAAGCTTTGGGATTACATTGTGATGGGATTACAGATAAGAATTGAAGTGTTCCACGTATAAAAATGATTTTATTTTTAAAAAAAAATTATAGCATAAGCCAGTATAGGATTCATTCATATTTATTTGATTTGTTGCATTCGTAGTTTAACTTAACGGCTTTGAAATCGGTTATCAATTTTCTAACTTCATCAAGGGCAGGAGATGTTCCATGGCCTATCCACTAAGAAAACATGTAATGAGATGTAACTATATTTCGATCCAGCGTTACTAGAACATTTCGGTGGGTTTGTAAGAATCACCTGTAAACAAATATAAGGATGTTAATAATCAATAACTTATTGTAATATTGTAAAATAACCGGTATTACTTTTACCGGTATTACGGTTTATAATAAAACAAAAAAAGCGGAGTCAGAAACTCCTTCTAAAAAATCAGCTTTCTCTCTATTATAGAGATGACTAGCGTAATATATTATATATGTATATATGTATATATGTATGTATATATATATATATATATATATATATATATATATATATATGTATATATGTATATATATATAATTAAATTGGTATGTATGGATATATTTTTAGATATAAGAATGCTTACTTTCATTGCTTCGCCGGTTGGTTTCTCGTACCAATCAGCCTTCAGTTTAGAATATTTCGCAGGGGCAGAAAATCCGTAGCCAACAAGACCTCCTTGTTCGTAGAGTGGGAATAAGGAATAGTGGTCTTTGCAGGAAGAATCCTTGTTGTACTTGTAGATGTAGTGTTGTCCTAAAAAATAATTTCTGATATATTGTATCAATTATTAGCAATATTTAAAGAATGCAAACCACAAAGACGTGATGGACGAGTTTAGAAGTCGCCTTAACTTCGAGTGTCGAGGGGCGGATTATCTGGGCGGATGGAAAATTATTTCGTGGCGGAAAGACAGAATAAATTTTAACCTGAGGTTAGAAAAGGTAGGTTACCTCCAGGATTGTGACGGCGAAAAATTTCAAATCCGAGTTTTCAACAGAAATTTGAGATCCAAGAATTTTGAGAATAAAAAGAACCAAGTCTCCGAGACTGTGTGTATGTGATCAGCCTTGCTCGAAAACGAAACTGAAATTACATATTTAGAGTATGCATCTGTTTGAGGTATTAGTGTACCGGGAGTACCTGTTAATATAATAGATTTTAGCCACTGACACGATTTTCTCTAAAACAGCTCGAACGATTTCGATTAAACTCGTTATCTTCATTGATATACTCTAACAGGTATTAAATTCCGAATTTTCAAAAATGTTTTCTTTAAAACATCTATAATTTTGCTTATTTAAAACAAACATTTTACATTCTAGCTAGTAATAAAAATAAATAGATATGAACTCTGAAGGAATTTGATATACCGATAAATAAACAAGAAATGAGGATTAGTCATAGAAGCAGAAATGGGGCTAAACGAGAAAGCCCGACTTACCCCGATCCTACTCCAAATACTCAAGTCTGTACATCGTTAGCTTATATGTTCACATTTTTCGCTTACACATAATTTTCTTACACACATAACTCCTTTTTATAACGTGTTTCGATGATCATGTTTTAGGTGAAGCTTGTACTTTTTACCAAAGATACAGTTTTACATTTGATTAATTCAAACATTTTTTAAATTGTTGCAGTCAACAACCATATATTTTTTAACATTCGTGTATTTCCTTAACCACATTTCTATTAATATTTTTCACCCGCCCACAATTCGCACACCCTTTCAAAATATGGCATAAAATATAAAAAGAATCAGTAACCAAACCATTAGTATTCTAAGAATATTCCTTGAGAAAAGATCTAACATGAAATGAAAAACATTGGTGTTTTTTTGGCTCCTACTACAGTTGATGAAAGAAATATTTGTTGCGCATTAAAAAAAAAACTCCATATAATTAGTTAATTTCTTTACAACATTTTCTTGGAAACGTATTGATCAAATAGGATTTTGTTACGAACTTGGTGTTCACTTGAGTATAAAAATAAATGTTTCATTTTTAACTGACGAAACTGATTGCTATTATCATTACTTATTAAATTTCGGTTTTTTATAAATGTAATATTATTATGTAAAATTGATATTTTATCAAATGATGTATAATAATTGGTTCATAAAATAATGCCAGTAAATAATACTAATTTATTTATTTTATTTTAGTTTTGTTATCTTATTATCATTTACTCATTATTTTATATTATTCATATATTTCTGAAAACAAAAAATATGAACTATTTCTTTCTGTTAGTTCTCTATAGGTTAATTATTTTTCTATCTTAATGCTTTTTTTGACACACTGTATAGTTAAAATCAAAATCATTTAATTCTGCGACTTTATACGTAATAAATTAATTTTTCCAAAACCCTAAGCTTTACAACGATATATATATATACATACTTTGCCTCCCTAATGGCTATGATTGATATCCCTATCATTATTTGTAATTATGAAAACTTAAAGTTATTTAGAGGAAGACATTTTAAAAATTTCGCTTTTTAGCCTTAGGTCATAGGATAAGACCTAACAGAATGAATTTGCATTAGTCAAAATCGTTATATCCAAAAAAAAAAAAAAAAAAAAAAACGAAAAAATGAGTAAAACTAATAAGGTCGAATTTTCAGGACGTCGATTTTGGAAAAAAAATTTGCTTAACATTCGCAAGTATAAATCTAATTTATGTATTGTAGTTTCTATTTTTCTATTTTAACGATAAAATTTATATCGTTATATCTTTAGTGATATTCCGTTTTATAATGGTTTGAAGTCCGTTGGTTTTATTTTATTTGCTATTTTTTTAATCTATTTTTTCAGTTCTTATCAATTTTACAAAATGAATTTTATAATTACCCATTGCAGGATAGCAGCCCTGCCTGTCGAAGTCTCCCATTTTTGGACCAGTGGGTTCCTTCCTTTGGATCTCAACTAATTTACCGTCCAAGTATGCCCAGAGGCCTTCCGCTATCTCTTCTGTGTTCTGACGACCTTTTTCAGTCAATTTTTCTGTAAATTAATGAAAATAGTTTGTATGATCTCTTTTGTACATTTAAATTTTATCATCTGAAGATATAATTAAATTAAATACTTATTTCCTCGGCACCATGTTAAAGTAACATATGCGCAAGGTTAAACAGGATCACATTCGTTATTTTAACATGGTGCCAACGATACAATAATGAACAATTACCGGGGTTAGTGAAGAACACTCTGCTGGAGTAGGCAGGAATATTAAAGAAATTTGTCTTAACGTATTCTCCAATAGATTCGTAGTCGTAATCTTCTTTGTTGATGTGGGCCACATCAGACTTTAAAACCTGGAATATTGGAAATTTAAGACATATTTACCATTAAATTTGAAAACTTTTAGGTAACATTACTCCAAAAGTATATAAACTTCTTACCTGACGCGAAACCAGAAAACTTATATTCGGAAAAAAAAAAAAAAAAAAAAAAAAAAACGCTCACCTAGTTCATAACAGTGACACGGCTGAGATAGAAGCACTGGGATCTCCTGGAGTCCTGCCTTGGCTTCCACGTCGGGGAATAAGGCATGACTCAGAGACTCAGAGTCCCCTGGGTGAGTGTAAATATTGTACATAGGTGTGAATGTGATTTATTTACTTTAATTTCATCTAGCTTTTATCTATTATTTCATTTTTTTTTTTTGTACACAGGCATACCAATTTACTTATTTTTTTTTTATTTTTTATTTTTCTTTATTATTGATATTAATTGTAGGTACATATTGTGTGAATGAATCATGTAGCCTTAATATTAATGCCCTTCAATGTGGCAGAATGTATTAATATTCAATAAAAAAAAAAAATTCAAACCTTACGTGGGATTACTTTTTTCTGATTCTGAATTGAATAAAACAAAAAGTAAATCAATAACTTTATGCGTTTGGTTACTAAGATGATTTTATATTATTATTTATTTAAAATTTGTGAAATACTAGTTAAAATTAAATCTGATCCTTCAATTCAACTTTAACTCTGCCATTTATCAAGAATTTAACAACTTCTTTAGATTAAACAAATGGAATTGAAATTAATAAAATCACAATGAATGAGTGAATATAAAGAAGCAATTATGTTCACAGAATTTACGATTGGATGCCTCAAATAGGATAAGACCCGTTACCAAGCTAGATTAGCTTTTATTAGTTATTTAATGTTTTTTTTACTTATATTACAGTCAGAGTTTTACTCTGTTATTGGAATAAAAAAAAAAAGAATCGTTAGAATATAGTTAATTTATTTTTTAAAATTTATTTATCATATTATTCATAAATATCACATTTAAAACACACGATTAATTATTTCCCTCTTACTAAAACTCAAAAATATTAATTAAAAACTCCTTTAAATATTGTTAATTTATTTTATTCATTTTTTTTGTTTAAAGATTTTATTGAGTATTAATACAGTCTGCCACACTGATGAGAATTGGTATAAAGGCTACAGTATTCATTCACACAATATAAACATAAGAAAGGAAAATAAATATAAAAAACCAAATTAAAGAAAAATAAATAATAAAAATATATAAATAAATAAAAAGATGAAGTAAATAAGATAAAGAGAATTAATATATGTAACATATGTACAAGATAAATAAAATAATAAATAAACACATTCACACCTAGGTACATTATTTAAATTGGCTAAGGGGACTCTGAATCGAGCTTTGTCTCCCAAATGTGGAAGCCAAAGCAGGACTCCAGGAGATCCCAGTGCTTCTCCCAGCCACGTCACTGTTATTAGACGCCAGTGGAGACTGATGGAGGAACTAGGGAAAGAGAACGCTCAGGACTTGAGTAGAGAATCTGGTCATTGCCAGTACTTCAATATAGACATATTTACAAAAGGTTGTAGGATAAATGTTTATTGAAATAACTAAAAATTGCTGTTTAATTTGTATTTGTAGGGTTAAATTTTGAAGAAACTGGAAAAAAATAGTTATTAGCCTTCGTTCTAGGAATATTAATATAATATTGATAATGTAATACAAAAAATTAGTGTTGCCCAAAATCGGTCTTGGTCTTGCACTTTGTAAGACCTAGACTAAGATCGCCTCACTGTTGGAAGACCAAGACCAAGATTGGTAAAAAAAAAAAAAAAAATTAGAGCAATTTTTGGATAAAAATTAAGGCAAAATAGTTACTAATGCTTAACAAATGACTTTTAGCTTATTCCATCTTCTTAACCACTACATGGCGTAAGCATAAGCTCATGATGTGACCAGTAGTGGATCCAGGATTTAATTTTTGCTGGAGGACTTCAGCCCGAACGCTTTATATATATATTTCCGTTTGGCACTACAGACCATGAAGATCTTTGGACGCGAAATGTGGTCTCCTTACAGACGTATGTTGCTTGCGGGAGGTAGCCTGGAAAGGGTCATCCAACCTCACGTTGCTACGAACCATGGCTCACGTAGCCGATCCCTTTGGGGCCAATCTGGCAGTGTCCTTCCCACCAATTCACTCGGGTTCAAGGACAGTGACAAATCGGTCTAGCTTCATGGACTATGACTGCTCGGAGTCAGCAGGTGCACGAGAATCTATATTACTTTCCCTGAGACAGACTGTCCATGGGCTGAATCTCAGGGACCTACTAACATCCTGGTTCAAATTATTTAATTCACGCGTCCTGGTGTTCATTCGTTTTAATGAATGTATATATATTCGACGATTATTACTTTATTAGAAGAATAAAGACATATGAAACTAACTACTTTTATGAAATGGCGTTTGACTGATTCTTGAAGTCCTATTAAATGTGATCATTTCTTAATAAGTTTTGGTTATACTTTACTATATTATGGGGTGGCAGGTTGGCACAGCCCGAAAGCCTCTCCCTCGCGTAGATCTGCCTGTGGACGTTGCAAGACTTGGATACATTTTTTTTTAAAGAGACTGAAAGTTATTTTTTATGTAGGGGGCGGGGTGACCGAATGGGCTAACGAGTGTGCACAGCACCGCCCTTGTCCGGCAACCTGACAATTGATACCTGGATAAAAATAGTCACGAGTTCGCGTCCCTGTGCAAGGGGGTGTCTTTCAAACCCCCGCCCCTACCCCCTGACATTGGAAAACCCCGTATAGCCTTAAAGGCGAGGAAGGGTAAACCTCTCCCCTCCCCCCAAAAAAATGTTATTTTTTATGAAACGGATAGTTTTTTGAAAGCAGATAAAAATGAAGTGACGTTTAAGAGTAACGTCTCCCATTTTATGGAATTGAATCGTCCATTACAACATACCGAAATTTGTACACCAGCAATGTTTCCTTTCTTGTCGTACATAAAGCACACTCTGGGGTCTCCAGGATTACAGTAGAACTCCAAAGGAAATTTGAAACTCGGCTCTGGATTGACTTTCACGAAATTTTTCATTGCTGGGTTGTTCGTACCGCTTGGTATCTCGTAGAAGGCATCCTGCTTGTCTATACCAAAGGCATTGGTTTTCACTGTAAAAATAATAAGACTTAATTTTAATTTTATAGAATATTGTTAATTATTATTTTAATATTATTTTAAACTAATATATACATTTTATATCATTCACTTTATTATATTATAATAGTCATACAATATATTTATTCTCAATAAAAAATAAAAAAAAATTGAAATATCAAATTATAATTTTTTCTTGGATTATATATCATATTGTTTTTTTTTTCAAATTAGAATTTGTTATTGCTTATGAAGGACAGGATAATGAAATATTTAGTTATCAGAAAAACATTTGAAATTTACCAAAAAAATTACAAAAAGAGAAAGTGAAAGCAATGCAAGAAAACTACAAAAACGTTGAAAATTATACAAATTAATAATATACATTTGAAATATGTGTAAAAAAAAATATATATATATTCATATGAACTTCAATACTTATAATAAATAAAATAATTTTTTTTTTCTTTATTTATTTTTCTTCTAATATAATGCTACAAATGAGTAGTTTCTCTACATCTCCTTTTGTATAATTTTTTTCACGTTTATTGGACGTATTTTCATTTTAATATAATGTTAAATTTATGGAAAAAAAAAACAAAATTTTCTTTCTTAAAAAATGTCAGTTATTCACTTTATATTACATTTTATCGCCAACCTACCACTGAGACTGGTGAACTTCTTCCATGCACAACATGTCTGTATAAGACACAACAAAGCGAACACCTACGAACAGAAAAAAATAACAATATTTTTGACTTAAACCATTATGGAAAATATAAATTAGGCCAAATTGGCTCTTATAGGTTATACTGTCTTTGTGGTTCGTTTATTGATATACGTCTGTTTATGTTATAGTTTATGATACTTCTTTGCACATATAAATGAAAAGGAAAACTGATGTAAAATGATCACATTTCAGTTAAAACATACACTATTATTAATATATTAAATTAAACAGTTATAAGATAAATCAACATTTACGCGCCATTCATTATTATCAGTGCTCTAATGATATAAAGTGTGTTATTTTTTTTTTTAAGGAATAAATCTTTCAAGCAATTTACCGTTTAAAAGCTCCTGGCTTTTTAAAATTACTTAGTAAATAAATATTTAATTAAATAAACCTATTCTACGCATCTTAATCTATTAACTTAAGTAAATCATTACATTCTTTTAACTAATTCGTAATTAATTTTTTTTATATTTAGCATATCTTTTTTTCAAAAGCGAGACTTCTTCCCTTTCCGATACTCTATATCGGCGTCACATCAAAATGCAATTATCAATAATAACTAATTACAAAGAAGATGAAATGCTGAACTTTAACCTCGCTTACAGTAAATAGATCCGATTTTTAGTTTTTGAGATATTTTATTACAAATGCAAAACATTAGTCGACTCTAACCGACTGAGCGTTACATAGCCTTTTATAGCATAAAATAAAATGCCAAGCGCGCCCAAAGTAGTTTTCACTTTAAAAACGTTACTACAACTTAAATAAATGTCATTGAAGTTAGAAAAATAAATAATTTTTTTAAGTCGAGCGGTTTCAAAACTGAAATTTTTCCAGGAGTCGATGGATCGAACTGGGTAAATTTTGTTTTAAATTGTGTGGTATCAAGATTCAGTATAGTTCTATTAGAGGAATTGCATAAAAGAGGAATTATATTCAATAGGAACGAGATAAATTCTAATACATACTAAAAGCTTCTGATATGCTATGGTTGCTACGGAATATTTATCATATATTCAAGTACAATTCTGTTTACTACTGAAAAAGGAGGTATTAGCAGTATTCCAGTAGTAGACAGTTTGTTTTTGTGCTCAATGAAACAAAACTAACACGAAAAAACACGTTACCGAGTGAGTTCGTGGTATGCACTGTCATTGAGAGATAAAAAATCTTGGAACAATAAAAAAATAATTGATGAAAATCAAACTTCCCTCCTTAGCTGATTTGGTACCTGGGATGTCACTGCAAAGATATTAGCTGGTTTAACCTTTCCACTTCTCACTTAGTTTGCTACCGCATTCTAGCGGCTATACAGTATAAGCTAAAGTTTAAAATGACACCAAATTCAAATAATTCTGTTGGTTCCAACTCTTACTTTTTTTAAGTTAAAGTGTCATGTGTCTACTACTGGTGCCTTTACCCTACTTATCTCTCTTATTGGTCATCTTTATCGCAGTGTCAGAAAGTTCACAGTTCTTTCGTTTCTATGTTGGTTGTGGACCCCTCTGTGCTGTTTTTGAAGATTCCTTAATAATGGCTTCCAGTCGATCGTAGTATTGCTGCATTGTTTTCTCTATTCTAATGTCTTTAATTTCTGATAGATTTCCGTAAATTGGCTCTCTGCCCTTGGTTTACTTTATAATTTTTTTCTTTATATAGAAACGTCTTGAAGATATTGTTATTTGCACTGTTATCAATCTATGATCTGATTCGAAATTAAAATTTTGTTGCATCGTTACTTGTTTATAAATAAGTATAAGCATAATTAAATAACATAATAGGTGACATACATATGTGGGTGAAAAATACAGTTCATGATCACTTTACCGGACAGAAAGTATTATTTATAATTTTTGGTCACTATCTATTACCTTCTACGGCTTTCTATATTAGATTTTTTTTTCTAAAATTCCCAGCTTTCCAACTAGAAACTCAGATTTTGATTATAATATACTTTTACCTATTATTTCCGGAAATTCATTTACAACCTAAACAAACATATTTCATTTTTTTCTTCTTCATTTAAGTATCTTTCTCATTCAAACTCTTTCAAAAGTTATATTTAGCCTTTCTTCACAACTTCTGAAAATGATGGATTCTTCGAAGTTCTTTGGAAAGCGGTGGGTACGTTTAATATTATTTTTAGAACCATTAGAGCACAGTTGCAATGATGAAGTTTTTGAAAGTTAGTGTTTGTAAAGTGTCCTTTTAAAAATCGAAACCTCTTTCTCTTATCTCTGCCATTTTAAAACTTTTTCTTAATTTTCGAATCTGTAAGTACATTTATTTATTCATAATTGGTTTTTATAAGTTTTTCAAGCGCTAAGGTAGTTTAAGTAAATCATTGAAAATAAGGTAAGTCCAAACAATCCATATTTTTATTTGTATTTGTGATGATTTTTATTTTTCCCAATTCATAAAATACTATTATCGTCGTAGAGAGGAGGTCGCCGTGACTAAGTTAAGAATAGGACACACGAACCTAACTCACGTACATCTCATCACCAAGCATCCACCACCAAACTGCGATAGCCCTCTTACAATCAATCATATTTTCCAAGAATGCAATTGTTATAGTTCAAACCTAAATCGATTATCTCTAAAACCGGATATATCAGCAGTATATCAGCAGTAAGCAATAATGAATCAAACATAAAAACAGTGATAATTTTTTTTTTTAAATCCATAGGTTGTTAAATAAAATATATATATTTTTTATTTTATTGTGCTTTCTTTTTTTTTATATTTATTTTAATATATTGCATTTTTTTAATGTTTTCAAATATTTGTTTCATCTACTATTAATTTTGAATTATTCATTTTTTTTTTATTTCTTCTCCAAAGAGTTTACATATATAACCGACTAACAGGTTTTGATGACCCTAGGGTTTTACGCTTTAAAGCCTAAATAAACAAACTATTATCGTAGTGAAACCGTCGGTTCAGTTTTCTTCAGTATTTAATTTGTTTAACTTATCTGAATTTTATTAGCTATATAACAAAAATAAAAAGCTTAGAAGTATTTTTTTAATCATTGCAATACAGGCTGTGTCAATTACAAATGTTTTATTAATTAGTTTTTGTCCATTAAATATAGCTGGATAAATGAGATAAGAACAATTATTAAATGTTTTTCATTAGTCGTGGATCGACCCTGGGATCGGGAGACCCTCCTATAAAGTGAGTACTCTTAATTATAAAAAATAATTAAGGGGAAAACCTGTTGAGCATGATATCGGCCCAATCACCTCCCTGCACAACGGTTGTCCTCGAAACAGTACTTTCTCACATAGTACTGCTATTTTTTTTATTTTTTTTTTTTTATCTGAAGATCGACCCGCAAACAATACATTGACGAGAGATAATTGTCCACAAAATTAATTAAGCCAGCGGTTTGTTCGCCAAGGAGTTCCTAAGTGTGGATGGGCATTCCAGCAAACCGGCTATTTGGAGAATAACACTTTCCGTCCACTCTAGTCCAATCAAAGATTCATTAAACAATTCAACTCTATTAAAAAAAAAATATGCTAAAAAGTTTTTAAAGATATATTCGATTTGCTTACCTCAACAATAGTTCCAGTGGCTTTCATATTTGCGAATGATTTGTTGTGCCTCCGAGACTGGAGCTAATATAGCCAATTATGCCCCCACTATCCCTACACGACCTCCAGGTTCGATAACTATTTTCTCTTCTTGGAACCGATGGATTATTAATAGGTTAGTAAGAAGATAATTCTTGACGATCTCTGATCCCGTTTTCAAGGAGATTTCCTATGAGGAAAACTCGCACTTAATATCATCGGTTTTAGTATCTGGAGCAGTATTGGTCAATCAAAACAACCGAAGTTTTTGTCAAGGTTGAATTTTTAAGTTTGAAAGAAACAGTGTTTTTTTTTTCCAATGTTGAGAATATGTGTCCGGTAACATTAATGTTGCGATAATGAATAACAATTTTTATTAAATTGAATGATAGGTGACTGAATCAAATGGGCCAATAAAAAATTCCTATCGAAAAAAACACTACTTACATTAAAAAAAAATTAATTTGTTGCTTTTGTAAAGAAAATGGAAGCTTGGTTTATATGAGTTCCCCCTCCCCCTATGATTCGATACCATTTCTTTAAATATTTGGTCACCCTTCATTTATGTATATATATATATATATATATATATACGTATATGTGACATTTAGGACTCTCTAGTGCCAACTGCCATTTATTAATTTTGTTTTGTATGATTGCTGGAAAATATATTTTATAATTGATGAAGGCTATAGCATGAAATCGTCCATCCAAAGATGACTTAAGCTCGATTAAAACCTGTTTGCTACTCCTTTATTTAAATAGGCATGTACAGACAGCTCGGAGAAAAATACTTGTATCGAGACAGCCTTGAATAATTCTAAAAGTTAAAATAACAAATGAAATTAATGTTTTATTTGTTGTTGGTGATTAAAGAGCATTAAGCTACTAAAAGTTATGAATTTTTTTTCCCATTAAAAATCGCCTTTAACTATATTTTTTAGACAGGAAGATATTATATTCTTCGCAAATAGTATTATGTTGTGTTGGTCGTTAATTTCATTAGTGTTAATCTAAGGAAATCCCAGTTAACGACCGTTTCTTTTAAATATTATGTCTACATCGATAATAATAATTGATGGTTTTAGTACGTTATCTTCATTGGTGAGATTCTGGTAACGGGTTGTGATATCAACCAACTATCTATCTTCTAGTCCAAATATCTCTCATATACGGTAAGAGTCCTTAATTGGGGTTTTCCTAAATTAATTGACGTGTTAAGAGGAAATATGTAACGCACCACTAGTTCCCCAAAATAATATGTCTTTAAATCTTATTTTTAGAATATTATGATAGAACAAAAAAAAGAACAACACGATATTTGGCCTTTTTTATCTTAAAAAAAATTTAAAACAAAACTGAGATAGGAACGCTGTGGTTGCACACCATAGTTTCCTTTCCTCTTTTCACACTTGATACTGTAATTGCCAGTATCCATCAATTGCTGTTTTACTTCATTGTTAGGAATCGTATATGGTACTGGTATTGGTAATGGTGGGAGAATTAGTACGCCTTAGAAACTTTTTTTGAGCTTTGCGGACACAACAAAATGGAGCAACTTCGACTTTTAACTATAAAAAAATCACTTTTAACTTGATGAATCACTTGTGAAACACCGTATATCTGCATCATCATTATTACATTTTTTGTTTTCATTTGCAAGAGTGAGACGTAGAACATTGAGAGACAAATTTAAAATTTTGGAGTTTGATTGCGACATTGATAAACTACTATACTACTACTACGTTTAATTTGTCGCATTAATATTGCCATAAACAATTGCATTGCGAAATAATTGTTGAATTAAGAAAAGTTATATGTTTTTATTGAGGACTTTAAAAAAAATAAAAGGACTTAATATAATAAAATTAGATAGTGTACACAGTAAGGAGTGGGGTATCTCACTGGTAGAGCACTGAGCTTCCAATGCTAAAGGTCCTAGGTTCGAATCCCGGCTCATGGCAGAGAAATTATTTATTCTGTATCATTGGCGATCCTGAATAGTAGGACTCTCCTGTGGCACACCCAATCTTTATAAAGTTGGTAGTTTCTTATCAAGTCTTTTCATGTGATTAGGGGTATTCATGAAACCTGTGCTTAGTATTGCAAACCTCTTAAATGTGCTAAAGTCAAGATACCTATTTACGAAATGAGTTAAATATGACCGCTAGCTAGATCATTGGATTTTAACGCAGTCACGGGCACGTAAAGTGGTTCTAATTTCGTTAAAGGACGGAGAAGATTTTTTTTTTTTGTTTCTAAACTACTCATTCAAGATATTTACAACTGTATTACAATATAAATACATCAAGTAAATGTGTACACATGAATATAATCACATGAAAACGCTTGTTGAGAAACTATCCACTGGTAGCACTCTAATAATATGCCTATATAAGGAGATTACGAGGCCATCTTCTTTTCAGACTCCTCGAAGAGTTAGCAGGTATCGAAGAGGAAGCAATGTTAGAAACGAGAGGATTCGGATGGTTATGAAGTTTATTGTGGAAGGATAAGTATCTGGATTGGGCCAAATCGGAAACATATGGAACATTAAGGTCTTTATGAATTATTTTATTTGTGACAAAGTAAGGAGCATTGACGATTTTAAAAAGGATTTTGGATTGTAAGGATTGGATACGAGAGAAATTTAATGGAATTCTTGTCGTTTCAGTCTTGTATGAGGATTGCAAGTGAGACGTTTGTCCAGGTGGAGTCATATGTATCAGATTTGTTCAACATGGATAAGTGGGGTGTTATTAAAAGATACTGTAGGACAGAAAGTCATAGGTTTACGCCTGAGAAGATTATAGTGATGTTTTGATGTGTTATTTGTTCATAGTTTGTTTACACTACCCACCGAAATGAAGTGTAAGTGAAAAATACTCAACAGCCAGAGTTTCTTTCCTTTTCCCTTCTGAATCTTCGTTCATGCTTTCTATTAATGTTTATTCAAATAATCCTACAACACTGTCTTTTTATTTCGCTTTAGAATTTTAATTTTAAAATTAATACAAACGTTGTTAGATCAATTATGCAGGAGAAATCTAATTTTACAATATAATCATAACCTTACTGTAATTAATAACACTTTAGCAGATTAGCACACAAGGGTCATTGTCAATGTGACTGTTTAGCATGATAACACATTATTCATTTTTCCCTAGCTGCACGAATACTCTTATTATATTTATTATAATTTTAATACAGTTGGAAATTTTATAAAAAAAAAAACTTTCTTTTTTTATTCATATGAAAAATATTTAATAAAATACAAAAATAGTAATAAATAAATAAACACTCTTATTACATATGTCTATCTACTCCCAAATATCACAATAAATGTTCCATGGGTTTTCAACAAGAAAGACGTGTACCATCGTTGTACCATACATTACTGCCAAGTTGTAAAGACATTCCGGAAAATCTGGGGTGATGAGCTGTAAAAGAATTTAATAAAATTTATGAGCGTATACATACCTAATAATTTGAAATTAAAATTTTATTATATACTATTAGTTTATTTCTAATTTATATTTTATTAACTTGTTTTACGCTTAAATCAAAAAGCAGTGGAATTTATTTAATTTTATTTATTTAATCTCACTACATTTATCTAACGGAGGTGTATTTGATGGCTTATGACATTTTGACTGTTCCATAGAAATATAAAGGTCAAAAGAATTTTTCGAAGTAAAAACTCGAGCAGTCAAATTTCTGATGTGGGACGCTCAAGTAAAGTCGATTAATTGAAGTGTTTTTACATATGAATTAAAATATCTTAAAAACTAAAAAGCGAACCTTCATACTCTTAACGAGGAAAATGTTCATCATTTCATCCTTTTTGTAATAAGCTGTTATTCAAAATTGTAATTTAATACGAGGCTGTGTTAGAGAGGCGAAAAGAGAAAAATAGTGTCGAAAACCAAATGATAATGATTTTCATAGATGATATGGATTAAAATATTTCAGAAATTAAAAACCTGATTTGTATAATGTAAGCGAGGGGAATATTCAGCATTTCATCCTCTTTTAATGAGCTATTATTTATAATTTATATTTCAGAATATTAATGTCGCCTTGTTGATATTTTTACTTCTGTCGCGTAGTCTAAAGCATACACCTTAGTTTTTTCTTCCTCTCCTGAGTTACTGATCTCCACTTATCGTGTATTCGCTTACTTATTATTTGCATTAAGATTAACCCAAGACACATGCTAAAATAAGGTATTATTCTGTAATGAGGAAACAGGTAACATGAGAGAGAAAAACTTTATAGAAACACTTCTTGATCATTTTTCGTACCTAAACATTGGAAATGCTCTGGATGTGCCGGATATAATAATTCCCCGATGGACCAATATCAAACCAACAACAGATACCTCGATTGCCAGACATAAAATGGATATGGCACTTCTAGTTGAAATTCAAAAACTATTTTTAGAAACTTTGGAAAAATATACGGATTGTCACATCTTTTATACGGATGCCTCAAAAGTAGACAAGGAAGTAAGATGTTCCGTTATAAATTGTAATACTCAAAAACTATTCAAAATTCCGGAGGCTTGTTCAGTGTTTAATGGCGAAATGATAGCAATTAGAGAAGCTCTTAAACACATAGAGACAAGTGAAACTACCAATTGGGCAGTGGTGACAGACTCTATGAGTTCATTACTAGCCATCGAGCATACCAGGTCCAAAACCACTCTCGCAAAAGATGTAAGAAACGTGTGGGGGCTACTAAGCGAGAAGGGCAAAGTAGTAGTGTTCGTTCAAGCAGCCAACATGGCAAGAAAACCGGATACAATATCCGTAAAATCAATTAATGAAATCCCTCTAGAGGATTACTTAAAAAAATTAAGGAAAATGTGTGGAACACGTGGCAAAACAAGTGGGAACAAAAAGAATCTAAATTAAAAGAAATTAAACCCTAATGTCTAAAATGGGAAACCTCGCACCGATCATCTCGAAAAGAGGATACAGCCCTCTGCAGATTACGAATTGGACATTGTGAGTTTTCGCACTCCTACCTACTAAGAGGACTTGATCCTCCGATCTGCGAGAGCTGCAATGTCCAATGGACAGTAAAGCACATTATTCAAGACTGCTGTTCATTTGAACCTACAAGGAAAAAGTTAAACATGGCACAGAGTCTAAAACAAAATCTAAAAGACAGTGAAAGTGCAGTAAAAAAAACTTTAAGGTTTTTAAAAGAGATAAAACTCTACAGTGTAATTTAAAAGCATTGCCAATGACCCTACAGGGTAGAGGCAACAAAACATCAAATAAATAAAATAAACTTGCAGTTATTAATTTATTATATTTCTTACTTTTATTCAACGAAAGTTGGTTCATGAGTTGATTGGAAATATGTAATAATATAATCACGGTTCAGGGATCCAGAATCCCGCCGGAATAAACTGATTCAATCTCCAATGCGATAAACCTGCGGAAAGAGGCGACGGAAAACTTACACTGTTAAAAGACACTGCTTTGGTCTCTATGGGATGCTCCTAGACATTTGGTCCGATTTGTCACATACTTGTTTGCCAACTTCTTATCAACTTAGATTGTCCAAAACAATTATATTCATTATTGAAATCTTTGCTAATCCTGAGCTCATTAGGAGTAACACATTATATCACGGTCAACCGTCTCTACATTATTATACAATTATACTAATAAATGATAAAGAAATAATTAGTTTTTATGTAAAACACTCAATTTTTACACACGACCTTTTGCACTAACAGTAGCGATTTGCATATTCAGTATGCACTGGAATTATTATTTTTTTAACTATGAATCATCAAAAATGGATTTGAAAATGAGAAACTTTTTCGCATTTTATTATTTTCTCATAAACAAAGCTCGTGAATATCAAACCCGTATATGTTAAGGGATTAATGAATTTCCGAAAACAGCCTCTTTCAGAGATTTTATTCTCATACGAAAAAATTTAGACCTTGTAATATAGATATGTTTTAGCAAATAAATAGTAATGAAGCTATACTGAACTTACTTGGCAGATGTTTTTTAAGTTGTCAAAAACTTCCCAATTAGAATTTGTAACAAATTTGTAATTATATTAAAACGTGTTTTGAACAAAGTATTATTTAGAGGAAAAGTAATGTTCCTAGAAAACAATTTAAAAATATAATATAAATAAATCTATCTCTTTCTTCTGTTTCTAGAATCAATCAGGATGTTAATTGTTATTAGGAATTTCGTTTTAAAAAAACGTGATGAAAAAGTGATCGTATTCAGTTATGAGAAAATCTGACTACCAGAAGTCAATAAACGGATCACTTTTTCATTACGTTTTCCTCCACATAAAACGAAAATATAATAATAGGACAACAAAGTGAAAATATTCATGTTTGAGTACGAGAGAACCCAAATCATTTTCAAATATTCAATTAAATTATTAATTACATATATATTTTTTCTATTGCCATTACAGAAATTGCATTGTCACATGCTAAATGTATACTTCCTCCTCACTATCTTAGCATCTGTTTCATCGTATCATGAGATCTTTACCTATTTATTGTTATTTCACCTTTTTGTGTTAATATATCTCTGCGGTTATTGTGCGAATGATTTTTCTCTCAAATATTTTAATACTTCTTTCTAGTGTGTTGGTTAGTGTCCACGTCACGCAACTGCATATCAGAATTGGCTTTATCCTAACATTGTACATTATTTATTCGAAATTTCTTGGGAAAATGTTCTGTTTGTGCTTTTTGTAAGGTAGTTTATTGCCGATAGTTGGTCATTCATTGAAGTTACAATGGAGCTGAGGTAATTCTATGCACTCCTATTATTGCAGTGGTTATTAAATATATATATATATATATATAGCAAATAATATTGAATAGCAAAATAAAATAGTTCTTTTATGATAACCAGTCTTTGGCGGAAATTTCATAACATCGTTTGTGTTATTTATTTATTATTATTTATTTTGTTATATTATGTTTTATTATCATTCTGTGTTCATTTCTCTGATCCGTTTGACAAGCGGAGAGGGTCCAAATAATTTTGCCATTATTATATTTTATGAATTTTTTTTTTTACGTTTTTATTTTGTCTGAAAAATGGGATGAAAAATTATGTAAATTTAAGCTTTTTATGGAATAGAAATATATCATTTTTTTTTACCAGCATGGCTTCCTTCACTGGATGCTCGTACCATCCTCTATCTGGTCCATGTGATCCATACCCAACGAAAGTCATGCCATATCCTACAAGACTCTCTTCATCGTATAATGAAAAAAGCGGAAAGTTGTTGTCACAGGATGCAGTGGGATTAATCTTGTAGAAGTAGTGTGAACCTAACAACCAGGTAAAAAACGTTGTTTGTTTCAGATAAAATTATCACAAAAAAATCACAAAAAAAAACAAAGTAAAAATATACGCATGTAAACTGCATATTTAAGTTATATATGTGTTACCCATTCCTAGTATGCATCCTTGACGATAGAAGTGCTCAAATATTTCTTGTTCTGGCTTTTCCCTCCGAATCTGGACCAGCTTACCCTCCAAATAGGTCCAGAGGCCTTCAGCTATTTCCTCAGTATTCTGACGGCCTGCCTCAGTAAGTATTTCTAAATGTTCGTGAGAAAAAAAAATTGTTTGTGAGAGATAAAAGTGACGAAAAGATCACAACGATAATTTGACATAATTACGATACGTTATAAAATATACATGGAGAAAAATAATATGAATACATGAGTACCTCAAACGAATTTAGTTTTAAATTAAAAGAAAAAAATATATTTGAGTAAAATCGTATCAAGTTTTTAACATATAATTCTGTTTTCATATTTAATTTATGATTCAACATTCTGTTTAGAATTTAGTTATGTTTAACAATATTCAATGAAAATATGCTACGCAGAAAACAATAAAACATTTTTTTCAAATTTTTTAATGTGATTTTTTATTTTATTTACATCTAAGTATGCCCTCAATTATAATTTTTTTTTTACATTGAAATATTTTATTGAGAAAAAAAAAATACATTTTGCCTCAATTAAGGGCATTGAGTATTTATGATGAATGAAGTACAATCATACCATAATTATAAAATTAGTCCCTAATTTTTTTATCCCTTGTTTTCACGCAAAGAAAACTTTTATCATTTGTAATTGTGAACAGACAAATATAATGGCGTGAAAAGATTTGTAAAGAAACTACATATTGGTAACACCCTAATAAAATGTCTACATTAGGAGATCACGAGTTCATCTTCTTTTCCTATGTCATGGAGGTTTATCAAGGATCCGAGGGGAAGTGAAGTGAGGAACGAGATGATTCTAAAGGTTATTACGGGTGGATATGTGGTTTGGGCCAAATCGGGATCGTACGTAAAATTTAGGTCGGTATGGATGGTAGCATAAATTTAAGTATTGAGAAATATTAATAATAGTATTTACGTATTATTTTACCTGGATTCGTGAAATATGTCCTCTGGCTGTAAGCAGGTGTATTGAGAAAGTTTGTTTGAACATAATTATTAATTGCTGAATAGTTGTAATACTCAGGCCTTACATTTTGTAAATCTTCTTTAAGCATCTAGAATTTCATGTTAATTAAAATGTAAATAACTATATTGTTTTAATAAGTTTAATTTTATAGTGAATATTACAGTAATTTAACTGGTTAATAATCATTAATAATAATATTTCGATTACAATAACGAATTAATTTTGTAGCAAGTCATCCCATAAGTAATGTCGATTTTTAAAAATCTATCTGTTTTTGTTGATGTTACTGATCTCTCCTATAAAATTTAATTGTGTTTAAATATCTTGTTTATTACAGTATGTGGGTAAGAACACCAGTGATGGGCATAGCTATGGCAATTTTTGTCTTTTTTGACTTATGAAGCCATAATTATTATACTTATAAACTTATTCGTGGGACATTTAAAATCTCTAGGGCCTTCTTTTTCCATTCAGCACTTTAAAATGGAAAAATATTCAGTATTGCAGGCATAATCTCCATTAAAAAAAAATGCACTAGTGATGAGCAATTCGATCTTCATTAGTTCTTGTTATGGACAGAGGGTCGGTACCAGTGATTGACAAATCTGAGAAAAATTCTAAATTTTTATTTAGCTATAAAGATAACAATAAAGATAAGATAACATGTTCAACTTTGGGCGGGGTAGCCGAGCGGTCTAACGCTTGTTTGTGCACAGCACCGCCGTTGCTCGACAACCTGATATATGAGACAAACTGATTAAAAAGAGTTCGCGTCCCAGTGCCGGGGGAGTCTTTTAAATCCCCGCCTACACTCTCTGGTCATAGAAAACCCCGTATAAGCTTAAAGGTGAGAAAGTGGAGGACCCACAAAAAATAAAAAGCTCAACTTACTGCTAGCAAAACTGTTAGTAGAAATGTATGAAACACACTGATCTCAAGAGTACTATAGAAACAACAATGATAGGCATTTTAAAATTTTCTCTTATAAACCGCATTCATACAGTTGTCAATAGAGGGATTGTTCTTCAATCTAGAAAAAAACTGGAATCTTTAATGCTTTAACAAGGAAGCTTATTATTTACATTTAAAGTCTAACTTGTCCATCACTGTCCATAATTGATGCGTTCACTGTATATACTCTCCTAATCATCATGTTTTTGTTGAAGAAAGTTATGATGTCCTGAAATTTCAATTAAAATGGGTGTCCCTAAAAACCAAGGCATGTTATGCTTTGGGAATTCGACACAAGAGAAAATTCTGCATTTGCAGAAATATATAGAGAAAACCTCATTAGTGAGGGATTGTGGCTTAAATTCTGGAGAAACACTAAAATTATAAACAAGGGTCTGACTTAATCCAAAAAACATAATGATGTCTGAAAGGAATTCTTTACTATGAAATCCTTGAAAAACGTCCCTATCTTATCAACAATCGAGGTATTTTATTCTACCATGGCAATGCGACGTCTGCCCATGTTACAAAACAAACATTGCAAACATTGAAGGATTTTAGATGGGAAATTATTTCTTACAAACAATATTCTTTTGAATAAGCGCCTTTCGATTATCACTTTATTCTCAGTCTCCAAAACTCATTTAGCCGAAGGAAAATGAATTCTGTCGATGAAATGAAAAACGAGGTGTTGGCTTTTCTTAATTCAAAGTCAAAGGATTTTTTTCAGAAAAAGGCACACAGAATTAGCTTTTAAGATGGCAAACTGCTATAGAACTAGGTGGTAAATATACTTTAGATTTAACGTGTTTCATTGATTTTATCCTACCCGTTATATCTAGTGTTGCCCAAAATCGGTCTTGGTATTGCACTTTGCAAGACCAAGACCAAGGCCGCCTAACTGTTGCAAGACCAAGACCAGGACTGGTAAAAAAAATCGATTTTTTAAATAAAAATTAAGGCAAGATATTTACTAATACTCGACAATTTTAGTTACTATATGTTAATATTTGGTATAACCAATATACTTTTGCATTTAACTCCTCTAATTTTTCATTCGGGCTTAGTTAGGTTTCTCCTGTCTAAAAAAATACAGTAATATCTCTATAGTAATAAGCTAATAAATAACTGCAAGACTGTTGCGAGACTCTTGCGCAAGACCAAGACCATGACCAAGACTGAGTTTGCAAGACCAAGACTCGTCTCGATGTCGCATTTGGGCAACACTAGTTATATCAAGCAATTAAATATCGACATTACTTATGGGATGATTTCGTACTTATTTATTATTAATATAAATAATTAATAACAAATTAAATTAATAAGTCCACTCCATAGACGATTTCTTATACAACTATTGTATTTAGTATTTATTTTTACATATTTTTTTTCTACTCACCGATATTTGACAGCCTGCAATGTTCCCCACCTTGTCATACATGAAACATACTCTGGGATCTTCTTTGTAACAATAGAAATCCATTTGAAACTTAAAATCTCGTTCAGGTTGGACTTTCAGGTATTCCTTCATCAAGGAACTGTTGGTTGTAGTAGGAATATCGTAATATGCCACGGTAATATCGAATCCAAATTTAACTGGAAAGCAAATATTATAAAGCAATCTACTCGAAATGAAGTTCTTAACTGTTTTCTGGAAATCAGATATCTTTACTACTACATTTCAAAGGCCATATTTTCAAGGGAATATAATAAGATAAATTTATTTAACCAAAAATATTACAATAATTTTGCTTTACTATTACTTATACATTACGTTAATATAAGATTATAAGAAAATTGTTCTTACTTCTGAGACTATTGAATTGCTTCCAAGCATTAGAAAAATCTAGCAGAAAAACAATCGACACCACCTAAAAATTATTAATTATTTATAAAAGCTAAATAGATTATATATATATATATACACCCGAATTCAAAAGCTTAAATAGCTTCCTGTTTATATACAAAATAGTAGTTTTCATTTTAACTTACCTACCTATGTATGAAATAAATAGCCAGGGAAAGTATTGCAGTCGTGAAAATTTTTGAAGCTCAGTTTTAAGTGAAAATACATACCAAGTCTCACAAAATGGTCTCTATTTGTGAACAGCCAACAAACTAAAAGTCGTACGAAACTTAAATTGCGTATTCAAGATTTTTATACGGTTCCGATGTGACAATAACTTTTTCGTTAAAATCGAATATCGGGAAGTGCCACTTTATATCAAAGGTGATACACATTTCAACGACTTCCTCAAAAACAGCTCTAACGATCTTAATTAAACTCAGTGCATCAGTGCATTATTAAGTTGTTTTTAATATCAGCTAGGTCTTATCCAGATTGAGGTTACTTTACAGGGCTTAAATGCCAGAGACAGAAACTATAAAAAATGGCTAAATATAACTTTAGAGTAAATTTGATAATTGAATAAACGATAAATAAAGAAAAATGCTTCATCCAAATCGAAAATGAATCCCCAGAAATAATATTCAAAAGATTTAAGTATAAGTTGTTGTTGGAAAGAGGAGAATTTTAGAAAAAATAATACGTAATAAATAAAGTTGTAGAAGGTAACTGAGAGCGACGAAAAAAACGTACATCACATTTTTTTACATCAAATTTAAACAATTAATATTGTTTTTAAGTTCGAAAAAGTATTTAAAATCCATCTAATCAAGGCAATGAAATTGATTAAAATACCATTTCATTGTATTTATGTGAAAGAAGAAGTGAAATATAAAAATATTTCATGAATATGTAACCCTAAATACATTTACAGTAGTTTAATAAATCTAGATCTAATATTATATTTAAATAACTAGCTATCAATGTCCATTTATTCCAAAAAAATCGTCATATAACATTTTAGAAAATTAAATTAGTGAATAGTGTGAAATCCCAACATTATCCACTTAGAATTTGTGTGTCAACTTTTGGCCTATCAATAACAAGCAATGAAAATCTCGTGATTTCGTTTTACTATACTTTACAATAGAAAATAAAACTTTAATAACTAATAGGCGTACAACCCATTATCATTTATAGGTTGAGTACAGATTTGATACTTTCAAATCTCCCTAGGCATATATATATAGATCAGAGACTGGAGTTATGTAGTTTTCAAAAACAGATGTAGGGCCTCTTGTTATTTTAATGGTCTTAATGATTTGTTAGATTTAAGATTTAAGCCATAGCTCCATTAAAAATGCATTCCAAAATTTTTGAATTGTCCATCATAGCCAGAAAATAATTTCTATTCAAAGTAGAGCGGTTTAGTGAAAGTTGTGTGTTGAGCTCACCAGATATTCTTTTATATTTTAATAACATATTTTAAATTCTTTTTTCGTTTACAGTTAAAATATAAATCATTTGTATAGATTACTTTTAATAAAAGTTAATATTTTTTTTAGGATTTTGGCGATTCATTTAATATTGATTAAATCCCATCCTTTGTATTTATTTATTTTATGTTTAAACTGTTTAATTGTTTTGTTTTCTATTTTGTTGACCAATGTCCAAGAGACAGATCGTTGCAATACTCAATAAACAAAAAAAAAAAAAAAACATTAGCTGTAATTTTCGATTTCTAGTGCCTAGGACTAATTTTTGTGTTCTTTTTTGGCACATGTTAGATAATAGTTTTTTTAATTAACTATATGAAAATATTTTATTGAGTTAACAAAAATCAAGAAATTAAATTCAATGTAAATCTTGAATTGTTTTAATTCGGAAAATATCGATAAATTTGGTTGATCTCTATATGCAATATGGTTTAATTCAAATGTTTAGCAGATTTAAAAAAAATCTATAACCAAAAATAATTTTTTGGATAAAGTTCTTTATGTATTTAGTCGGTATGACTAATATACAAAAAGAAAATTGTGAATGTCGGACGCAGATTCAAATTAATTTTATTCCTTGGGTGATTTTTCTTCATTAAGTCTATTGAGATATGAGGTTGGTGATATTGGGCAGAAATTTTGTTGGAAGATTATAAAATAAAAAAAATACTTAGCACGGGGTGCATTTTAAGAGTGGCAGAATATATTAATAGAAATTAGTTGAGAAGTGTGTAATCATAGAAAATATGTTTCTTGAGATGGGACCACTAGTGGATTCAAGATTCAATGATGCTTTTCGGGCTATAGTCTTAAAATTTGTATACTTCTACTTAGCAGCACAAAGATAATACAACTTTTTTTCATTTTCTGTATCCCAATTTTTTTATATTATGAAGATTAATTATTTTTATATCGATTTTATTTTAATTAATAATTATGATTAATAGAAAATCTGTAGATTTCCATTATTGCTACGACTTTCGGAGGATATGAAGATAATCTAGTTAAACTTTTGTAAAGATTGGATAATTAGTTTTAGAAGATTTAAACGAAAATCGAGTGTCCTTTTGTAAATAGACATTTCAATGTAATCTATTTTGTTTATTTCGTTTTTCCATTTTCTTCTTTTTCAAATGTTTTTCTTTTACACTTTTCTGCATTTTCGCAAAGTTAAATATGATGTCATTTCAATGGAATTTTTAATCATTTCAAACAGCAATGTAAAATTTAACATCATTTATGCGTATTTACTAAAAAGTCCAAACACACATCTGTTACAAAACATATTTTTGCTTGATTTTTCACTACCCTGATCAAATAGTCCGTGGTCCAGACACCTTTTTATCAAATTATCAACATCCGCCAGAAACTTTTTAAATATTTTCATCTCATCGTAAAACAACTATTTTATTTACGAAAACTCTTGGAATTGTTGCGTTTTCAATCTGGAGTGGACAAACCTTGTCTATTTAATCAGGTACTAAAAACTCTAAATACCCATTTATAAATTGCCTCCCCTCCAGATTGAAAACGCCACAATTTAAGAGTTTTCGTAAATAAAATAGTAGTATTTTACGATGAGATGAAACTATTTACAAAGTTTCAGGCTGATGTTAATAGTTGGATAAAAAGGGGTCTGTATCACGGACTAAAATAACATTATAACTCAAAACATACTCGAGACGTTAACTAATTTGCAAAAAAAAAAAATAGTTGAGCTCATCATATCGGTCCACACGTTTTTAAGGTTAGTGGTAATGAACGAAAAACGAGTTGTATTCTCTTTTATAATATAGTTGTAAAAAGTATATAATATGTATTTATATAGTTAATTGATATGTAACACCGGAAATCACTCCAGAACAATCTTCTGAACTTGACTTTACCACTCGCAGTTAATAATTATTTTAAAATTATTTCTAATTCATGGATTAGTACATTTCTAGAACACCCGTTAAACAAAAATAATATAATAAAAAAACATAATCCCTTTTATACTTATTTATATAATATATATAATCTCTAACTTTTATTTATATAATCTCTTACCTTTAAAACATGTTTGACGTACATATTTATAAGGACGAGCTACCTAATGCTTTCGGTTGCCACTTCTATTTAGCCTCCTCAGACACTGTTTGAAATATGATAAAGAAATTACCACTCATGGCCTTATCGGATTCTCTTTATAAGAGACTATGAAATTTTAAGATTATACAATATTATTACTGATAATTTAATTGTTTTAAGTGAGGGCAAAGGTTCATAAAAACTCTATATATACACACATATATATATATATATATAAATAAACATAAATCTAGAAAAGAGATATAAGGTAATTATGTCATAACTGGAAAAATCCAAAACTAAAACACCTGGAGTTTCCAACATACAGGAGAATATTTAACTTGCCAACGATTTGCAAATTCAGGGATCCTCAGGACAGAAAGGGTCAGAAAGAAAAAGAAGAAAACAAAATGATTGCTGTAGACAGTTCACGAAGCCATCCAAATAAATACTGAAGGTAATAGAAGGTTTCATTAACACAACTAAGGAAGGTTATATTGAACAGCTGATTAGAGCAGATACAAGGGAGAAAAGAATATTAAATTTATAATTTGTTATTTTATCTAATTTAGCACGTTTTTAGTTATTATTTTTTAGTTATGGGTATATTTTTGTTTTATTTACTATTGTTCTATATTATCTATGATACAGTATATTATATATAATATCTTTATAGCAAGCTGTTCTGTATTACCTTCTTTAGATGTGTTAATAGAATCTTCTCTTTCCTTAGGTATGCAGATTGCTTTGTAAGATGTCTACATCAATATTTGTTTTTTCTTTCTGCATATAAGTAATCTTGTTTTTTCTGTCCTGATGATCCCTGATTTGGCGAAATGTTTGGAAGTTAGCTATTCCCTTCGATGTTTGAAGCATATACCTATATAGTTTCGATTTTTCCATTTAGAACATATATATATATATATATATATATATATATATATATATATATATATATATATATATATATATATATATATATATATATATATATATATATCACTAGCGTATCCAGGATTTGGTTTTTGGGAGGGGGATTTCAGCCTGAAAGATTATTTTTCAAAATATATGACCATATTTACTTAGGAAGAAATATTTTTTCTTTCTTTATTAATAAACTACCTACATGAAATGGAGTTAAATGATTCTTTAAGTACTATTAATTGTAATTACACGAACAATAATAATTTTAGAGGTAATTAATAATTTTTTTTTTCAAAAAGCATGGTTATATTTTACTATTTTGGGAGAAGGCTTATGCCCAACAGTATCGTCCCCCTTCTCCAAAGATCCGCCCGTGATATTATATATATATATATATATATATATATATATATATATATATATATATATATATATATATATATATATATAATATGAATAACAAAGTAAAATATGAAATGGTTTTTACACACTTGTTTACTATGATGTTCAATTTCATAAAATTCATAAGCACCATTATTCCTCGAAGGATTAAAATGAATTTTCTTAATTCCAGTTTATTCAACTAAGTGCTAATCCATGAAATAGGAATAATTTTGAATTTACCATAAATTGCGCGTGGTAAAATCAAGTTCAGAAGATTGTCCTGGAGTGATTTCCGTGCCATATATAAAAAATTAAGTTCCTTAAATCTTGTTTATAATTACTCATTAATTAATTGATCTGGTTTATTTTAGGAATATTTGAATAAAAATTCTTTAAGGATATTATTTTTTATTATTTATTGTTTAAAACAACAATTATTAGAATGGAAGCCAACCAGTAGCAGCACCGATGGCCTTACCGATGATGGTACAAGAGATGTCATAAGGTCTCTTAACGAAGTAGACGTGCATGGATGTCAAGCCGTACTTGTCCACCAACTTGTCCAAGCATTGTGGTCTGTTGGGTGTGATGATCTGGAAGGGTAAGATATTTATATTATTATACTGGGCATGAAAATACAAACACTATTAGAAATACCAGTCTTTCATGTATGAATCTATATTTTTTTTTTCTGGCTTGATAAATATAGTTACCATTGTCGTAGTTCCAAAAATATAGGATTAAAATTAATTAGTTGATTCCTTGGTTGATTTTTTTTATTTTTATGATATTCAAAGTTTACAGTTACATTTAGTTTGATATAATAACTGATACTCACACTTAGAGCTAGTTTTGGTGGGTATTCATACCAGTCCCTGCGCCTACCAGCAGTTCCACTGCCTGGTGTTGCCAAACCATAACCCACAAGGTACCCATCTTCGTAAAGTGGGAAGAGAGCGAAAAGCTCCTTGCATGTAGGCAGATTTTTATAAACGTCGTAGAAGAAGTGTTGACCTAGAATCAATTTCCAAAATATATATCTATATTATTATATTTTCAAGTCTGGTAGGAAACCACTTTAAATCAATATTAAGTCCTATATATAGTCTTCTAAGATCCCTACATAATTCTATACATTATTTATTGATGCTCAGAATCTTGTTTAACTTTTATGTAAAAAGAGAATCGGATAATTTGGCAGAATATAATAACATTACAGAAATATATTTACTAATGATCTTTTGATAATGTAATCGCAGTGTATTATATCATATAAATGTCAAAGGCTGTTTAAGTTTAAGATATTATTACCGAATAAACTCTACAAATGTATGCCTTTTTAATTTATTTTATAAAATATTACAGATTTTTTATATTCTTAAGTGTTTAAATGATTTTATTATTTTATTTTATTATTTCCCCTGTTTATAAATATTTTAAATCAGGGTTGCCCAACCTCTGATATGCGTTCCACTATGAAAAAGCAAAATAAAAGCCAGGGATGAAAATATTTTTTCATAACTTTAATGGCATTTTATATATTTTTTAGTTTTATTAAATGTATGTATTACTGAATGCAAAACCAGGAATTTACAATCAATAATGATCTCAGATAGTAACAGTAAAATTGAAATTTTGCCTTGTAAAAGAATAAAGAATTAATTCAAGCATTAAGTTGATCCAACTACAAAATCTCGATGTTTTTTGTTTGATGTTATTAGAATTTTTTCATTATTACATATTAGTGTAAATTTAATTTTTGAAGATAAGGTGCGTTTTACACGTTTTTGTGGAGAGTGAATTAGATTGATCCGTCAGATTTCGTTCAGCATTAACGTTCATTTAAAGTTGGCTAGAGTCGACTAATTGATATACTTTTCATATGAATTAAAATATTTCATAAACTATAAATCGGGCCTGCGTACTTTAAGCAAGGAAATTGGTCAGCATTTCATCCTCTCTGTAATAGGCTGTAATTCAAAATTGTATCTTAACGCGACGTCATGTTAGACAGTTGGAAAGGAAAAAATAATGTTAAAAACCAATTGGTTAGTTGAACAAATGGATTAAAATATTTCGGACAGTATAACATGTTTTAATATGCCTCTAAATTGCATAACGAAAATAAAGAAATCAGAACAGCGCTTATAAGTTATTTTTAATTAGGTATTATAGAAAAATATAAATATGAATATATTAATTATACATCTAATTAGTTATATTTATTATAGTATTCTTTAAATAAAATTTTCTCACCCATAGATTTCATACACCCTTGTTTGTGGAAGTCACCAAATCTGTCTCCTTGGGGCATTTTTCTTGGGATTTCTACCAATTCACCTTTGATGTATGTCCAAAGACCATCTCCAATTTCACCGTTTTGTACACGACCGTTTTCGGTGAGTTTTTCTTTTTGGATATAGAAACAAATAATTTAAGATTAGTGTTATAATAAATATTAAGTTCGGTAATATTTCACCTATTTCTTATGTTAAATGTAGACATTTTTATGATAAAGTTAATTTGAATAAATTATATTTAAACAATGTAGTTTGATTTTTATTAAATCTTTCTCTTATGGTTTCTGAATGCCATTCTCCTCTTATGTGATTTGGATCCTCCTGTTGTTTAATTAACGAACTTTTTTTTTTGTAAAAGTTTCTTTATTGAGCAATATAACTCTTCTACAACTGGCGACATTAGTAATAGTAATACAGCGAGTTAATTCATACTAATTAACAAACTACAATTAATTAATTTGATATTTAAATAAATTTGATGCATATATTAAAGTATTTATTTCCTAATCTTCCAAGGATTATTTTTTGTAAATTCAGTTACAGATTTACTATACTCACTGTTTTCAACTACAAAAAAAAAAAAATGCTATATTTACTATGCAATGAATATAACAACAATTATAAATATATCAGAAATAGATTTATGATGTTTTTTTGTGAGCTTAAGTATTATTTTATATTTTTCCTTTAAAAATTAATATTAAACTTTTATATTTGAGTAGGCTAAGCAGCCTAAACATTTGAACCAACGAAAAAAGTTGTTGAATTAATTACCTAGTAGAAAAAAGATTTGAAATAATATGTATGCTAAACTGGGATTACTTTGGGGTTATTATGATCAAGAGCTTATTTTGCATATGAAATTACCTGGCTGGGTAAAATATTTTAATATTTAAACTCTAGTACATAGTAACCCCTTAGTTCCAAAGTAACCCCAGTTTACGGTTCATATTCCTGAGAACATAGAATCTTGGTTTATAGAAAAAATCTTTTATAAAATTACACACTGTGCCCAGTAAATTAAGGATACATCAGTGGTATTCATGCAGCTTGTGTAAAATGCTTAATGTATTATCACGCTAAGCAGTAAGCACAAATTTTAACGAACTACCCTCATATGCTAACCTACTAAAGTATTATTAGTTATAGTAAGGTTGTGATTATGTTGTTAATCAAGTTTGCGAGTTTTCCTGCTAAATTTATCTAATAATGTTTTTATTTATTTTGAAAATGCCAAACTGAAATAAAAAGGCAGAGTTGCAAGATTGCTGATGAAAACATAAATGAAATATTGGCCGTTGTCTTTTCTTTCATTCCATTTTAGTGGATAGTCTAAACAAATAATAAACGAAGAACTATACATCAAAACCTTCTCAGTGATTTTCGAAATTAGCATCATTTT